CATTTATAGGGAGAGTAGAGATGCCAGAGATGAACCTTTTCAGAGAGACAGTCCTATGAGACACAGGAAGAAGTCATATTTCTGAAAATCAGAGACTCAGAAGAAGCCAACCTTGCAGGAGCTTGTTTTTTTTTAAGTTCTCTGGGAAGGATGCCTGCCACTTATTTATGAGAACCGGTTTCTGTTTCTCAAGCTACACAGGTTGTGATGTATTCTTATGACCATCCTTGAAACTAACACAGCAAGCCATAAACCAGGAAACACGGAGAATACCAAAGAGGACAAACATATGTGCCTGTTCAAAACTCTATACTTAGACATATTCTAATTCCAGAACACCAGTTTTAGAGTTCTCTAAAGGTTTATGAAGAGTTGAGTAGAATTTGCAGAGTTTTGTGTTATGTAAGGCCATTCCCATCTGCCCATGTAGATAACATCTTACATTAGTAAGGTACATTGGTTATGTTAGAGATACTGTCTATACATTATTAATAATTTATAACTCTATAGTTCACACAATGGTTCATTCTTTGGGTTGAACATTTTGTGACTTTTCACAAATGTACAAATCACATTTCTTTCTCATTCAAATCTTTCAAAGAACAGTTTTGCTCTAAAAATCTTCTATGCTTTGCCTATTCTTCCACTTTTTCTGAAATTAATTTGACTTCTGCAGTGGTTTGATTTAAAAAAAATGGCCCCTATAGGATCATATATTTGCATGCTTAGTCATCATGGAATGGTGCTATTGAGAAGGATTAGGACATGTGGCCCTTTTGGAGGAAATGTCCCACTAGCATGGGCTTGGATGTTTCAAAAATCCATGCTAGGCCCATTTCTCTCTCCTGGCCTGTGGATAAGGGTATAACTCTCAGCTACAAATCCAGCACCATGAGTGCTGATAATAATGGACTAACCCCCTGAAACTGTAAGAAAGTTCCCAATTAAATATTTTTTTAAGAGTTCCCTTGGCCATGGTGTCTCTTCACAGCAATAGGATGGTGACTAAGATATCCACTGTAGATTTATTGCAATTACTGTAACATGGCATATATTTGCCCATTACTTTACTTTTAATCTATCTGTGTCTTTGTAAGTAAAAGGATAATAATCTGCTTTTATCCTTTTAGAACCCATTAGATCAGTAGTGACTGAAGTCTATTAATTTTTAAAAAATTTGCCCACTAGAATATAGTTGTGGGAGCCACTATCATGTGGTCTTCTAAGCACAGAAAGCATTGATGGATATTAAAGACAAATGGCCATGGATTGAGAAAGAGGAGAGTAAAACAGAGTGGTGGGTGCTCTCAGGGCATTTCTAAAATGAGAATTGTTATATAGTAAATATCAGTTAATGTCTTACTTGAAAACTATTATTTTTTATCTATTTGAAAAATTACAATAGGGTGAATCAAGAATAAATAATTCCCAAGTTTTAAAAAATAGAATTTTTTCCTTTACCCGGCATCTTGAGCTCTTGACATCTCAATACTATAAATAATAGAATTATTAATACATTAGTGTATTTCAGGCCTTGTTGTCAGCTATTCAAGGTTGGATCAACAGTTTTGAAACATTATAGATTATCAGTTTTATTTTGTTTATCTTCCTGCTTTGAAGTTTTTTGTGTGTTTTTTTTAATTAGTCTGTAAGTTTCCAGGCACAAATGTTTGGACTATTGCTTTCTAGCAACGGTAACTAATTCATTTTAAACCTATTCCTTAAAGGAAAAATTACTGCTTAATGCAAAGTATTGTTGCTATGATGTGCCAGAAAGAATACTTCGTTTTGGCTGGTGCCCTATTGCTATCTAAGAAAAATGTCTTAGCTCCCCCTTATGTCTTATGTTGATTTAGCATGGTTTGAACAAGTAGAAGTTACTTGGATAGTTGCTTAGCATCTTCAAGTATAATCTCTCGTGTAGGTATAAAAGTCTCCACAGCCTCCTACAGCAATGGGAGGACTTCACTAAGTATGTACTGAGGCACAAGTCATTGAGAACACTTCTTGTTGGTAAACGGACCTTCTCTTTTAACAAAGAACAGCTAAAAAGAAAAGACTGAATAATTCAAATTGGTGATATAATTTTTTTGCACCTAAGAATATAAGCCATGGATAACCGAACATCCTTATGGTAATCCAAGTAAGCCAGCTACAAAATAAACTAGAATATGCTTAATCAGGGAAAAGCAAATGGGATAATTCAATAATATTCTTACAGTTAGTTTACAAATAGGCTGTCTAAGTTCAGAATACGATCTCCTTTGATATGGACACCAGGAAGAGTCAATGTTAAGCTGAATGATATTAGACATGATGGATGACGGCTATGAAGCATGCTCTGTAAGTGATTCATTGTGGAGACGATGGCTTTTCCTCAGGCACACCATGGAAACATAAATCTACTCTCAAGTCATCAGACATGTGCAGCAATTGTCATCACTCTAATGGCCATATGAAAAAGACAAAGATCAGCAAAGAGAAACACCAAGAGGACGAATTCTCTTTACAACAGGGAGCAGAGGCATTGTGTATGATGGGAAACAATATGAGGAGGAAAAATCACTCGTTTATGTTTAATGAGACCAGAACAGCAACAATGCCAGTCTCCTTAATAGTACAAACTATTTCAATCACTTCACAAAGTCAAGATCACTGTCTCCATTTGAGAAGTAGCTACCTGAGACTCAAAAATGTGTCCCAGTTCTTTCAGAGGCATACACTTAGCCTTTGGTCATAATAGCTATTGGAGTCAGATCTTTCTCCTGGAGCTGTTGCCTCTACTGGGCTACCCTGTGGGTAGGCCCCTGGGCATATTTCCACAATTGACAGAAAGCTCCAGCACTGGCCAACACAGCAGCAGTTGTTTCTCAACTTCCTGTAGAGGTTTCAATTTTGAAAACGTTGAGCAGCAGATGGAGAGAAATGGGTGTTTCCACTCAGGTAATAGAATGATCTAGCTTCTATGTTAATCTGACAGTATTATGTAAAATATTTTTCCTGTTTGTATATTTGAATACTTTCTGTAGCACCTGATCACTCAGGAGTAACTTCATACAGTCCTGTTTCTACGATGACTGCTAGGAGAAATAATTGCAACTGTTTGCTGTGGATTTTCTTACAATGTCCTTCTGAGGATGACTCTTCAGGCAAAGCCCCAAAGAAAGCCAAGCTACTGTGAAGGCTCTCACTGCTTTTGTATATTACATTATTCTCTCTTGCTGTGATGCCTGGTTTAATGCTGATTTGTCCCAGGCTAGAGTCATTTGAGAGGAGGGAATCTCGGTTGAGAAAATGCTTCTATAAGACTGGGATACAGGTAAGTTTATAGGGTATCTTCTTAACTAGTGAATGATGTGGGATGGCCAGGGCCATTGTGGGTACTGCAACCCCCCAGATGGTGGTGTTGGGTGATACAGGAAAGCAGCCTGACAAAGCCATCGAGAGCAAATCAGTGAGCAGCACTCCTTTATGGCCTCCATTTCAGCTCCTGTTTCTAGGCCCTCCAGCCCTCTTTGAGTTCCTGCTAAACCCTTTACCAATGATAAGGTGAGACCCAGAAGTATAAATAGAGAAAAATCCTTTGTTAGCCGAGTTGCTTTTGACCATGCTGTTCCATCACAGTAGAAGAAATTCCTAAGTTAGACATTTCCTTAAGTGATTTCCTGTCTCCTCACCACATGTAATGGTTTGAATGACAATAGTCCCCCATAGGATCATAGAGTTGAAAACTTGTTCCCCTGTTAGTAGAATTGTTTGGAAAGCATTAGGAGGTGTAGCCTTGCTGGAAGAGGTGTACCATTGGTGATGGCTTTTGAGGTTTCAGAAGCCCACACCAGGGCCAGTCCTTCTCTCTCACTGCCTGCTACCTGTGGATCAGGGAGTAAGTTCTTGGATACTGCTCCAGCACCATGCTCTTGGTAGCTGCTATGCTCCCTGCCATGCAGATCATAAACCAACTCTAAAACTGTAAGCAAGTTCCCACTTAAATGCCTCCCTTTATAAGTCGTCTTGGTCTATAGCAATATAACAGTATTTAAGGCATCACATAATCTCTTCTTCATACTTTTAAATGTGTCTTGGATGTCACCAGTTCTTTTGTGGAATCATCCCGGGACACCACCACCGAAGTCAACCTTTTATTCTTTCAAACTTCCATATTGTTTTGCACATATCAATGGCATATTAACATGGCAATTTACCAAAGCTCTTTTTGTGAGATTCTGCTTTCTTGTCTAGCCTGTGAGTTGCTGAATACTGCAGATGAAGTCACACACCCAATGGATGCCCAGAATCTTCTACAATAAGGCACAGGAATGAATTTCAATGAACATTTGTAGACACTCTGTTTAAAACTTGTACAATATTATTTCAGGAAAGTGTTACCTATGGGAAAATGCATGGAGAGAAATACTTTCTTGGGATAATTTTTTTTTTTCTTTTGGAGCTTAATTAAACCTTCATTGTTGAGCTTGGGTTATCCTATGGTCGCTAAATTTGATTTATTAGGATTAACTTTGTCATTGTTCATTTGGTTTGCCCTGCCAGTGGCCTTTCTATGTTTAACAGAACCTTCTGGTGTAGAACCAGAGGATAGCTCACTAACAGTAAGCACGGTACGAGTTTGGGGAGTCAGATTTTTTTTTTAACTTCACAGCATATTAGAAGAGCTGCAGGAGAACCAGGACTCTGGCTTGGAAACCATTTGTCATTCTTTCTAGTCACACAGGATGCTGTGGAAAAACAACCGCGGCCGTTTGGGGCTTGTTTATAGCACTCTGCTCTCAGTAGGGGCTTTTCATTGACAGATACAGAGAGCATTGCACTGTGGAAGAAGCTGCCATCCAGCTAAATGAAGCTATGCATCAACTGGGTGATCCATACCTAGGTCTGTGGTTTCCTCTCATGAATAAGAGCAATAGAATTCATTCGTGGGCTCGTTATACACACATGTAAGTGGGTAAGGACAAGACAAATTAAGGACAAGACAAAGCACTGACCATAGTCTGTGTTTTCTGGCTCCCAACAATTTGACGGCCAAAAATAGGGTGTCTATAGGAGAAAAACAAAAAAAGGGAAGTCTTGGTTAGACACATAAATATTTAGTAGACCTTCTTGTTTACACTCTGTGTTTATTTTCAGTGGCTATCTAGACTACTCTACTGATAATACATATTTTAAGCCCAGAGAAAGTTCCTAGAGAGACATTATAAGGTTCTCACCTACATGCACTGACCCATTTTCAGCCTTCAGATTTGCTGGATACCAGCAGGGCTGTAAAGTGATGCTCATTTTCAATCATCTCACATCAACAGTTATCAGGCTGAAGGGATATGACTGTGTTATCCAAACAAAAGGTTCAGTTTCAGCCTCAGAGAGGGCTGAAAGCAGAATATTATGTTCAACAAGAATTGTAATGAACCATGTTTAAATATAGTGACTTCTTTCTTTGCATCACATCTCCATACAGCTTTTCATAGATTCAAAAAGTGTAGCTGAAAGAATTATTTCCTGGGATTTTCAAATTATTTGCTGGGATCTGTTAATTATGTAATGTAGCTTTCAACATTATTCAACTAGACGACAGCAACCTTTGACTTTCCCTTATTTTAAAAAAAAAAAATCTTTCATAAGGACATTTATTGCTGTAAACTTTTAAATGGTATGAACCAGAGATCTTTTTTTAACACTAATAATACCTTTGATGCGATTAACAATAGCCGGAATTCTGACTCTGTAAAGTTCTCAAAATACGTTGACTGAAATACAAAGGGAAGTTTGATCTGGAATAAATACCTTATTATGATAATTAAGGTTGTATGTTTTCAAGGATTTTTCAAAGCCTACTAGCCAGACTAAAGACTCATGTGAACACAGATCTGCATAGGCAACTCTATTCCCCTAAATAGGAATGAGGCAAGAACTCAGATGGACATGCCCGCAGATGCACATGCCATGGGCTGATTATATGCATCAACTGATTGAACTGATCATTTATAAATGGGTATATTTTTGGCAGTATCTGATGGTCAGATAATTTTACCCTCTAGCAGATTTACTCTCAAAGACATAGAAAGGGATGCTGTCGGGGACTGATTGAATCGTTAGGACAGGGCTCTTCCAAATGGTCTGAGACCACCCGAGGATCCTAACTTAGCCTCTACTCCTTTGAAATTACTTCAGTATGATAAAGAAGGCTACTAATAGTAGTTCTGTGCACATATGAACAAAATCACAGTAGGAATTTGGAAGAAAAGAGATTGAAGCACTAGATTAAGATGGATAGGAAGACATATATGGAAGACTCTCATCCTCTCTAATCACATTTAACTCTGTGGGAAACAGAACTTTGAAGATGCGATTTCTTAGAAGTTAAATTGGACTAGGATTCCAGTAAAGCCATGAGGGAATGAAGTAGCTTAAGACTGCTTTCATGCAGAGCTCTGCTTTCGCGAGGCTTCTCAGAGGAAGCACTGATTGCTTGGTGTTGCTTCAGTATTGATGTGTGTGTGGGCACATGCATTCATTTATAAGCATATTGATTAACCAGCTCTAGACTGTATTGTTTTAGATATATAGGTAGACAGACATTTCTTGTTCTCATCTCTACTTTTAAGATTTATTTTTTTAACCATGTTGTCAGTAAGAATCTTATGTCTATGGTTGGGCCAGGCATTGGTTGGGCATTCTCCTCAATCTCTGCCCTATCTACTTTGTCTTTACCCCTGCACATCTTGTAGGCAGGGTAAATTTGGAGTTGAAGTTTTTGTGGGTGGTTAGAGTTCCCCTCTCTGTACGAGGAGGCTTGTCTGGTTAGAAGGTGTCCTCTTCAGTCTCTATGGCTTCTGCCACTAGGAGTCACTGCTTTAATCCCCCGCATGTTCTCCCTGGGGCCTACCCTGACTCTTAGGTCTCCAGCTTGTCACAGAGATAATTCCACCCTTCATTTCTCTTTTCTCTACAGGCCTCATGTCCTCTCACCCTAGCTCTTCCCAGATCTGATCTCTACCCACATAACTCTGTGACCACAATCCTACCTTGTTCCCTCTCTTCAGCCACTACCATCTCTCTATTCAATCTCCCTGTCCAAGTGAGATTTATGCATCCTCCCTTGAATCTTCCTTGTTATTTATCTTCTTTGGGTCTATGCCTAGACCTACCCTATAGGAGAGTGCCAACCCCTGACACTATGAAAGATACTCTGCTAAGCTTGCAGACAAGAACTTGACAGAGTTGTCTTATGAGAGACTCCCCCAGCAACACAGATGCTGAGACTCACAGCCAAACATTGGGCAATGCTTAGGGAGTCTTTTGGAAAAGTGTGAGGAAAGAGAAATGGCCCTGGAGGTGACAGAAGCTCCACAAGAAGACCAAACAGGGCCAACTAACCAGGGTCCAGAAGAGCTTGCTGAGACTGAAGCATCAACCAAGGACCATGTATGAACTGGACTTAGGCCAGATGGACAGCTTATGCTTCATGTGGGTATTCTAGTAAGGGAAGTGAGGACTGCATTGGACACAGACTCACTTGTCAGCTTTTTGATCACTTCCTCCTGGCTGGACTGCCTTACCAGGCTACAGGGGAAAAGGACATGCTCAGTCCTGATGCAACTTCATGAGCTAGGGTGGATAGTAAAGGGAGCTCTGCTTTTCTGAGGAAGAGGCAAGGAAGGAGGGGGGAAGGAAGAAGGGTGGGACTGGGAGGGGAGGAGGGAATGGGGCTACAACCAGGATGTAAAGTAAATAAAAAATAAATTAATTAATAAAAATCATCTTATGACTATAAACATGTAATTTTATCATGGAATATTACAGGGAAATGCTGCCATAAATCCAACATTTTCCACTAATATTTGAAGATTTTTTTCTCAGAAAAATAATTTTGACTTATAATAATAGACAGGATAAGAGAATAACAAGTCCCTAGGGCTTGTTATTTATTACCTCCTTCTGCGATTATTCTAGACTTTAGAACATTTTAATGCATGCGTGGCTTTTTTTCAGAGCTAGCTACCTTTTCTTCTACAGAACTCACACTAATCAGTCCAGCCTTTAGTTGAATAGTACATGTACTAACCCCATGAGAGAGATGTGAAATCTATCTGGAGAATCATGGCGGGTCTTAGTTAAAGTTAGCCAAGAGAAAATGACTAGGCAATATAAAGTTTACCATAAATCTGAAAATCACATTTCTAAAATATAGAAAGAATATTAGACACAGCTATTGTATCACATCAATGAAATTAAGTTGCTGTTCTGTTTATCTCAAACGTATGCCCTGTATCTTTTTAATATTCTTAAGGATGTTTAAAGTCTACATGATTCACTGGAAGCATTGAAAACATGTAAAATTCCTTCAAAGGAAGTGAATGTCAACTCAATTCAAAACCTTTCTGATGCTTGGAACCATGTGAAAATGGAAAAAAGCACTGTGAACCTTCCCATGTTTTCTGCTGGTAGCGCTGTTCAAACAGAGACTAACCAATACTTTGTTAGACTTTACAGGCAGATGGTTAGTTCACCCAGACTCTGTTCTTGGTTCTTTTCACTTTGCTATAGGATTCATTAATCTTTCATATTTAGATGTCACTGCAAAGGTAGATGTGTTGTTAAGAATGGAACGCTTAATAATGAATATTAATAATTTTAATGGACTTGCATGAGATCTCTCTAACAGCACATTGAGCTTGATATGCTCTGCCTAAATTTTGTACACATGTAACTAATATGCCATTTGCTCTCATTTCCTAACTTTGTCCTAAAACTCTTTAACATTCTCTTCCCTCCTCTGGATGTGCAGTGGTGTACTGCAACTTTCACTCACGACTTATAAGCATGAATAAAACATTCAAACCTTTCAAACCTTGTCTGCTCAAAAAATGTCTTTCTGGGAAGGTCAAGAACAGAGAAAAGGGTTTAAAATTCTGGCTAATTCAATACATTATCATTAACCTAGGGCCATGTCTGAATTCTTTTGTTTCATGGAAAAAAAATTAAATTAGATAATTCTCAAGAGGGCAGTCAGCCATATTCAGCATTTTTATTCTAAATAAGTATTTTGTTTTTGTTTACTGGAGTTTTCATTTATTATGTCGATTATAAAAATGGACTTTTAAAAATTTGTGTAAGCATAAAACAATCATTCCTTTAGAATTTGTGAGACTTTGTTAGTCTCTTTTTTTATTTCAGTCTATTTACTTTACATCCCAAGGGTGTCTTGCCTTCCCCTTCTTTCTCCCCATGCCAACCCTCCCCAACACATCAAGTCATATCAGGACTAACCAAATCATCATCCCCTGAGGCCAAGCAAGGCAGTGCTGCCAGGGGAAAGTGAGCCAAAAGCAGGCAATAGAGTCATATAAGAAACATCCCTCCATCCACTCTCCAGGCGATCCATATGAAGACCAAGCTACCCATCAGCCACATCTGTGCAGGGGACCTAGGTCCAGACAATGCATGCTCCTTAGTTGATGTTTCAGTCTCAGTAAGGTCCCATGAGACTGAGTTAGTTGTCTCTGTTGGTCTTCTTGTGAGGATCCTATCCCCTCCAGGTGAGAATTTGTTAGTCTTAAATTTTACTTGTGGCTTCTAGATGAAAAACCTTTCTGAAAATTAGGAGTGTATAAAAATGTAATCTTGCAATAGTAAAGACTTTCCCTTAAAAACAAGAAGAGGTAGACACATTTAGACAACTGACTTACCAATCATGAATACTTCTTAGGTATTACAGGAGCTTGCCAGGACTGAAGTTGGTTACAGATCACAGGTGGAAGTATTGCTTTAGTTACATCTCTCAACGTCCTGCTTTCTAGATGTCATTTAGAGCTAACGTCTATCCTATTTATCCTGATTCCAGGAAGTCACCTGCTGGATTTTCCTTATGCTTTCTTTATATTAAACCGTAACCTCAATCTTTACACAGTTCAGCTTCCACAGTTTTTCAATGGTGTCTCGTGACTGCTTCTGATGCTTCCACATGAACACTAACTACTGCCTAAGTGGCTAAGGAAACAGTGTAATAGTTTCCAAAAGTTCTGTAAACACACAGGAAAAAAGTTCAGGTTTTCTGATTTGCTATGAAAGAACATCTCCGTTTGACTTACTTGAAACCGGTAGAAGGTACCATCATCCTTGAGTGTGAGGACGTGATCTGAGATGGGGAAGAAGTAGCCATGGGCAGCCATCAGTGTTCCCAAATGGAGAGCTTCCACTATTCCAGGAAACCAAAGCAAAATGAAAACAGCACATGAAATCCCTCCACATTTACTGGAATTTGTTCTTGATGTTGACCACAAAAGAATAACATTTGTCTGGTTCTCTTTGGGCACATTCCTGTATCACATTTTTAGTATCTTTCCAAACAAGACCTTTTTGTATAGAATGGTCATTCTGAACAAAGGAGTTTATGCATGTGTCTGTGGTTGTGTGTGTGTCTGTTTGTGTGTGTGTACACATAACTTCCCATTTAAAACCTAGACCTTCCTACATAATATCTACACATTCTATTTAAAATTTTAGCGCCCATGGAGACATAGGAAAAAACAAAAACTTTAGATACACATCTTATATCATGGCACATAAACTCTTATTATTTCTCACATCTGTTGGAAAAGATAATAAACACACCTTGTGGTTCCTGTGAAAATTACATACAAATAGATGCATTGGAGTTAGACCGGTGCCTGTGCAAAGTAGCTACAGGATATATGGGATCATTATATTTTATGGCTTATATGATGAATGAGTTTTTCAGCTTTTCAAGGTACTTCCCTGGTTCTCCACTTCTTTACATTTCCCTCTGACAAGGCTGACTGAGGAAGGCTGACTCTGCTAAATGCCAGCAATCCTTTCTATACTCCCCTCATTACTTTTGAGTTGGCCATCAAATTAAATTGGAAGAAGATTTTTGAGGACAGCTGGGCCATAACAATGACCAGGATCCTTCAGCTTTGGTCAAGTTCAGAGCTCTTGCATGCCTTTGGCAACAAGCCCTGAGCTGTGAAATTTCAGGTGGCCCACGTATGTTCTTACAATCATTTCTAGTCTTCAGTCTCTGTGTGCTGGGAAATAATAACAGCATACTTGCCAGCCAAAGAAATTATAGCACATGAGGATGACGGTACAGTTATAGACACAAGAGAAGAGAACAGGGTGGTATAGAAAGAGAGTAAATTGCTTCCGACCTCTAAGCCTAGTACATTATGTGACTCAATAAGCAAAGCAAAACAAAAAAAACAAAGAAACGTAAAAAGCAGTAAAGTCTTGATGAATTGTACCAATATGTGAAAGTTAACACAGGGAGCCTGCAGTCCGCTAAGCCAGAGGCCAGTGAGTGGCAGTTTGATTTCTTGTACCTACTCAGACGCCAAGATCATTGCTGGCCAAACCTTAGCATTAGAAGGATCTTATTCATGTAGTACTATGAAATACAGACATTAGTAAGTGCTTTCTGCTGAGAAAGGTATCAGTGGACTCTTACGTTCCCTGGAGGAACGATAATCTATTTTTATTTAATTTGACTATATATGGTCTCATTTCACTCCCTGTTGAAGAATTCTCTAGACATTCTTGGTTCAGGAAAACTTGTTCCTGACCATTCTTTAGCATGCCTTTAAGTCACTAGAGTTCTATTCCCTTATATAAAATTATAAATCAGTTTCTTCCTCAGTGGTATGTACTTCCTAGGTCAAGGTAAAGTCAAACCATTTGCCTTAATTATTAAGATGACTGGCATTCCAACAGACTATACCATGATTTCCAGGTCTGTGGTCAAATAGTAAGAAAGTCTGAGATTGACATAATTTCTACCATGAATCTATTAAATAATAAATATGTGAAAATCTAGGGTAAATGTTGTGTTTGATGAGATTATGAGAAAATCAATCTATATAACCAATACTATGTGATAGATAAACAAGAATTCAAATACATGGCTCATTCCAAATAGGAGAAATACTACTACAAGAAAGTGCCAAAATGTGTTATGCTGTGATTATGAGAGGTTTGTTTAGTTTTTCTAAGTCAATATTAATGTTCACATTGTCTTTTCAGAATACTTCTATAAGAGTTTGATATGAGCTCCTGTGTAGTGAGAAAAGCTAATATTTATATTACAGGCCTAAATGCTAGTAAGAGATCTAAGTTTTAAAGCACATGATCTCAAGACTTATTTACTTACTTAATGGTAATCATGGAGCTATATATTTCTATGATCCAACTGATCCTAAAATCCCAGCATCACCTCAACTTATAAGACCCCAGATGACTACTGGCAATGTGCAAGTGGACTATTAGAAGAATTTAACGAGTAATTGGCCAAGACTGCCCTTCTTAACAATGGCACAACAGATGGCTCAGCAGCATCATGCTTCTTGGCAAACTAATCACTAATTAATCTTCATGTATGAGTGATATTTGCCCCACCCACACAGCTGAAGTTCAACAACACACCAACCAAAACATCTTAGTTTCTTTTCTCATTTGGATATCCAAGTGATGTGTGCACTTAGAAAGCCATCCTTAAACTGTCACCATGTGAACAGCATGGTGAACAGCATGTGAACACAGTAGGAGCTGTGTCAAACTCAGGCATTCATCCCTCCCTCACCTCAAACCCAGAGGTGAAGATTAGCAACATCTTTAAAAGAAGAGAGTTCTACAGACTAATTTGTTTTTGCCACAGTACTTCAAATGTCAAAAGGATGAATAACATATTATAAAAGAGGGTTGAGCTCTTCTGTGTGAAGAGCTGTATATTTATAGCCCAATTTCAAAATCAAGTCTTATTCAGAGACTCAACACTGAAGTTTCTCAAAGACAGCAAGTAATTTCACAAAGAGAGAAAAGTGTTGGGGCCAAGAAAACAATAATTTTGAACATTCTCACTGGGTTCTATACATATTACTCAAAATCATTTACTTAGGTTTTATATCAATGTATTTTATGAAATACAGCTAGTTCTATTTAACAACAATAGTCCAAGAAAAAAAAAGACTATCAACTTGAAGAGGGAGGGGTTTGAGGGAAGAGTAAAGTGATGTAATTCTATTCTATTTCAATTAAAACATACTTTAAAAGAAAAAATATATCTGTATATACCTTCATGTACATACACGGCTAAAATAAAATAAATTTATAAAAAAAAACAAATAAACCTGTACCGTTCCCTGCATATTGTTTAAATGTAGTTATGATAGATCCAGGTGCATCTTAGAATTTTAAAGATAAAGTACAATGGTTAGCAAGAAAATGGAAACACTAAAATGTTTACAAAGGTAAGTTGCCTAATAGTAAAATAATAGATGCTTCTCAGGATGCTTCTGAGTCTGAAAAGAAATGTTTGCTTGGAGGAAGATATAATCATTTCAGAAGTCCTTTGAAGCATGATTTTCTAGATCAGCTAGAATTGGTTTTGAAAAAGTAAGGTCAGACATTTGGGGAAATTATACATACAGAACACTTTATTCTCCAACAAGGCCAAATAGAACCGGACTATTACTGAATTAGGACTTTCGAAAGCAGGTCTATTTTCTCAGCACTAGAAGGCAGTAAAAGAAGTAACTTGGGGTTTCATTTAAAAGAAAAACTTCATTTCCACACTAAAAAGAAAATCCAAGTATTGCTTGGTTTTTACCGATTACAAAAATAGATTTAAAAAATGTAATAGCAAATGATAATGAAGGACAGAGAATGGATGTTGCAAAGCAGAATCTGTTTGGGGGACAGAGACGTGGCTCAGTAAACTGCTTTCTGTAAGTTTGAACATAAGTGCAACGATGCAATCGGATCCCTGACAGTCGTGTAAATTCCTAGAAGGTGTGACAGCTCACAATACCAGTGCTCAGAGATAGACTCAATGGATACCTGGAACAACTTAGCTTACGAACAGACACCAATTAGCGAGAGCCAGATGCAGGTGAGCAACCCTTGCAACCTTTACAGAAAAGGTAGAGAACAATCTGGGAAGATGCCTCAGAACTACTTGCCTCTACATGCCTATACAAACAGCTGGGCTCTCGCACGTTCAACATGTGGATGCACACTCAAATACTACACGTGCTTTTTCAAAATGGCCTCTGCTTGGGAGAAACAAAAACAGAATCAGAAATTCAGTCGGCACTGAGAAAGGCACCAAGTGTTTTAATACATGTAAATACCTTTCCTCAAAACTGTGGGGTGTGGAAGTTGTGCAGTATACTGCCTGAATTCAAGTCTAGGTTTCTGTTTAGGAGCTGTGTGACACCAGCCATAGACATCCAGTCTCCGGGCCTCAGTGACCTCTGGAGCATGCAGTTAATGAAGTACCTCTGTCTGAAGTTCACCATGGTAACCAAGGAAGATGTGTGCAATACACATAGAGCCTCGGCACCTCATACCAATGTTACACTGATGTTAGTTGATAGAAGTTGACACAGTCTGTACCACTTCATTCAGTTTTAAAGGAAATGGGAAGCTGGTGCTGGACTCGGCTTCCCCATCATAGCAAACACTCCTAACCCAACTCTGCTGGACTGCTCCAGGTGGTCAAATCAGGTTGTTTTGGTAGAGGCATGATGCACCTGCTCCAGCGTATGCCTGTTTCACGCTAGGCAGCAGAGAACACAAAAATACTAGCAAACAAACAAACAAAAAGTCCAGGGGGGACTATAATGGTTATAGCAAAAATGTTTACAGAGATGACATTCTTCACAGCACAATTGAAAGATGCCAATGAGAAACTCCCCTGGCTCAGGAGATGGTAGGAAGGACATGTTGAACCACACTATGTCAAAGCCTGATAGGATCAAAGAGAGAACGGAGGGAGTCAAAGTGGACATGGATACATAGGAAACTCAATGTATGTGTGTGTTGCTACTGTTAGTGTCTTCTATAGCCCTGGGACTCACTATGTCAACCAGGTTGACCTTGAGTCTACGACTCTCTTTAGCCTCCGAGTGCCAGGATTCTAAGTGTGTTCCACCATGCTTGTTGGGACACATAATCTTTTCCCAGGAATTAGAATGAAGTATCACTTTAAAAGAGCATTCAGGAGGCTAAGCAAAGAGGAACACGAGTTCAAGGCCAACCTGGTCTACATAAGTTGAGCTTACCTTAAAAGGAAAAAAAAAAACAAAAAAACCAACAACAAATTGTCATTGTGCTGCAACACGGATGACTACTACCAGAGAAACACTTCCAGGTCACCATGAAGTGCTTGATTTTTAATTACTT